ATAGAGGTAGAAGAAATTTTGATAAATTTTCACTGTGCTATGCCAAGGACCTTAATTTTGTTTCGTGTTATGCATGTATAAAACATTAAAGAGAAATTATCTCCTACATGTTTTTTGATGCCCACCACCTTTAAAAGTTAAAAATTGTTAAGGCTAGAAGGCGTTTCTGCAAACACCTAGACGCTACCACTGTTTTCGTACAAATTAAGGCATCATGCTACTCATCAGCTTATAATACACTGTGCCCAGTGCAGGGCAGTGCCTTCAGACTCGGTGATTACATTATAACTCTATACTGCTCCAATATCAGTTGTATTCTCCAAACCTTCAAAAGGTAACTATTACTACTGTATTTGGTGCAAACACAAGGTAAAAGATAACTGATCTGAAAGCCCACAAGCTGATTTTGAAGTTGCGTGATACCATTTTCTAGACTGTATAAAGCAAAGACTGAATAGCTATATATATAGAATCATAGAATCATTTAGGTTGGAGAAGATCTTTAAGACCATCACGTCCAACCGTTAACCTAACACTGCTAAGTCCACTACTCAACTATGTCCCTAAGCACCACATCTACAGGTCTTTTAAATACCTCCAGGGATGGTGACTCAACCACTTCCCTGGGCAGCCTGTTCCAATGCTTGATAACCCTTTCAGCGACGAAAATAGATGCACACTCAAAAAAGTCTGTAAGGCCAATCACCCAAATAATCCACTGCCTTCTAGCAAAGCACTTCATGTTATCTCAAATGCTACCCAGCAAAATACATAATTTATTACTTATGAATATTTTCCATTTAAACATTAAAATTAACATACCAAAGCAAACTTACCAAACAATAGAATATGGCTATGTTTAATATCATTAGTGGTTTAAGTCACGTCTAAGTATCAGAGTTTCCTAGATAAAAGTATGTCAGTATACAAACATGCTTAGAATAGAGCCAATAGGAGAGATATCAACTGTATGGACATAAACTTCCTTAGATTGTTTTTTAATGAGGAAAAGGAAGCAAAAAAGTTATTGTATCTTTATTTAGACTATGAAAGAAGCTTTAATAATGTAACATAAACTCTCTACAAGAACCAGTACAATAGCAAGGGTTATTTATTTTTATAACAAGTTTATTTTCTGTTGTTTCCATGTTCAGTGAAGCACTTATTTATGTACAAATTATTTGGTAATGGACCCTGGATCTATTCTGTCTGAAGCATTAAAGTGACATGTTAGATATTTACACTTACTCCTTTTCAAAAAAACACAAAAGGAAATTGTGTCTTACAGTTTTAACATGCATCCCACATCTTACAGTGTAGTAAGTAGTAGCTGTGGCTTTCACTGCACAAGATGTGGGGAGAAGGTTAGAAAACTGAAGAGTCAATAAAACAATTATTTTGATTTTTCTTGTTAAGGCAATTTCATTATTGGTAAAATTAGAAATAACTTTTTTTGAAAAGCTTGGCTTCTGAAGTACATGCTAGAACCACAGTACTGTTAATGAATATCCAGAGTATAGAACAACATGGAAGTAAAATTGTCTCATGTATAACACCATAAAAGTATGGAGCAGCAAGAGACATGTATGCCTTATGGATGAATATTTATATTCCATGATAGAATGGAGAGCACAAAGTTCTTTCTGAAAAATTGTGCCACAGACCTTTTTAATATCTTTTCAAAACATTTAAAAGATTTTATCCCATCATGAAAGGAATGAAGTTTTAACTAATTTTAACTCAAAAGTACTCATTACTTTTTTTTGGGTAGCATTTTCACCTTTTAAAAATATTTGTAGAAAAAGTAAAACAGACAGAGTCCACTATATTTTAAGGGTACATTCCTGTGAAGTGAGACAGTTAGCAATTTGTCAGATAAAGCAATTTTTCCTCATCAGAATAAGCATAACAGATGCATGTAACGACTTACAAAACACACATATTTAAATACACACACGCAAAGTATGACAGATGAAGGATGGAAAGGAAGGAGAAAATTATTAGAATTGTCACTGAAGTGCTACTTCTAGCTAATACCTGACAATCCTCTCATTTTTACATCCTTCATTGTGACTGATTTGATTCACCTGAGGACGAACAGGAAGATGGTGAAAATTTAACTGCTCAGAAAAGACGCAGAAGACAACTGTCACAGAAGATTTATATCAGGCCTTCAGTGTCCTAGAAGAATCAGCTGAGATCTTTTGAAACAGTGATCCAACTTGAGATGCCTGCATCTACTTCAGTTGATGATCCTACTCCCGCCTTTTACCCTCTGTACTATGTATACTACAATTAAGTTGCGTGCATGCATCCACCTGTTATAACGTTAATTCTTACAGGGAAAAACTGCTTTACTTTTAAACACTGGCACTTCATCTATTACAATAGTAAAAGCTAGAAAGCAGGGTAACAATTGACAAAGCAACTCTGAAACTATAAATACAGCAGCAAGGCTTATCAGAGTATTCCTATCTGAGAAATGTACACATTAGAGATGCTGGCAATAAAATAAAGTTTTGAAGCAAGAATCAATTAATATAGGGTAAAAAGCACTGAAAGAAACCTGCTTGGACAAGGTACTTTAAGTGTGTAGTTGATGAAATAAAGCTCATTGAGTTTTCATAAGAAACAATATAGCACAAGAGCAATAAGGAAGATCCAGCACAAGTGCGTGCCCTTTCCTCAGTTTATAATACGGCTCCATATTTTCTGTGCACTTTGATAAGCAGGGATAAAACAAAGCCCACTGCTGGGCTCAAGAGTCTGCAAGAAGAGCAGCAGCAATTACATTGGTAAGTCTTGGAATAGTGTTATCCCTCCTCTGCACCTCCTACAATTCTGATTAATCATAAGGAAAGACTGACTAGCTACAACAAACAAAAGAACACAAAACAAAAGAGTATTTTACAGTACCAGAATTTTTGGACTTTATGTATTTGTCTTTTTAATTTTTCCAATGTTTGAAGACCAAAGAAGCAAAACTATTATTAATGCAAAAGCAAAACTGAAATTAATCAATGCTTTAATTACACTTCCTTTGAAAATCTAGGAACTAAATTTTGGGTCACAAATAACACAATGGTTTCCAAATTTTTCCTCTTCTGAAGACCATTTGTCTTCCATCTCCACTTCCCCAAAAAGTTCAGGAACTACAAATACACTACACTTCAGATTAGTGTTTCTATCCTACGAAGTACATATGAAACTGTAGGAATCCTTTAAAGATGAGTAAGTTTCAGATTAAAAAAAAAAAGTTTCAAAGCAATGAGATGAGTCCATACCAGGAAAAAACCTGATTTTTACCTAGGTTCACCCCTTGTCATTTCTTCTTGGTTTTTATACACGAATCTATTTTACTCTCTTCCCCAAAAGAAAATGAAGAATTATGCTACTAGTGGTATTTTGGACTGAAATAGGAGAGCATGATGAAGCAGACAGTCTTTCTATACTTAAGTTACTATGTTGCTCAAAAGTAATATTTTGTATATATTAATAATTTCCCATTACTAGAGTAATAAAATTTCAACTTTGTAAACTATTTTCCATACACATTTCTTAATAATACCTGAAATAATGTTTTTTATGTTGTTTTTTTTCTTTCCTTTCTTCTTTACTGGATATAAGCAGAGTTTTAGTAATGAGGTAAGATTTTATGAATTACATTGTAAACTAAGAGAGAAAACACCACTTTTCCACTCTATATTCATTCTATTCATCAAACTTCGTAGTTACATTCATGGCAGGCTTTTCCACTGTCATTTCAGTTTTGGCAGTGATTACACATGCCCTCTCGCTATTAAAACTCTGTCCTTCTTGATTATGTACCCTAGCTGAAAAGTATTGTGAAAAAAAGAAGTAATTTAAAATTATAATTTGGTGTATGTAAATAATTTTAAAAGTCCATATTTAGAAGTTTTTAATTTTGTAAACCCAAATTTTGTGGTCCTCTTTATTATTAATTACATATAGACATTTTTCTTGTCATGTGAAGAGTTTTCTCTAGTCTTATCATAAAAATGTAAAATACATCAAAGATAAGACTGGCAAAATATAACTCATCTGAATCAATAATTACTACAACTTACATTTATAAATGTTCGTATCAATAATACAACCAAATCTTGTTCTGTCTCTTGGACCAGGCAGAAGGAGGAAGGGTAATTACAAGGAATTTTATGTAAGAACATATATAAAAGTATCTCAATACTTTGGAAAATTGCTATTTCACTTAGACAAACAGCATTTGCCAAAAATAAATGTGACAAGAAGTATCTGCTGAAACAGAAAAATCTCCATTTATGCAATACTATTTATGAGGCTAAAAAAGCAAATTTTATTCATTTCTACGAATGTTCAAATGTTTAACCTAGCAATGTCTTACACTTTTCCTCATTTGTCATTAAAAATGAAAAGTAAGATCATCCATTAACAGGAACCCACAACTTTATTAACTCTTTTTTTAAATAAAAAAAGAAGTATTATTTTGACATATTTGTAACAATGTTGTTACAGCATTTAAAATGTATTTAGAATTTACCATTCACAGATGAGACCTTCAACTTTTCAAAGATGGTTATTATCAAAGAATGCCAAATCTGAAATTTTGAATGTTAGGTTCTCACAAACACATACATACACCACTTGGTTTATAATTCTGAAAGAGTAGGGGAACAAACCAGTAAGGGTCAAAAGCTGGAAATCAGAGAAGATTTTATACAGAGGTTGTACAGAAGCAGGGCACCGTAGTAGTAAGACTAAATGGAAGAAACTAAAAAGTTTAATTGCTTAAGATATTTCAGATGTATTAGTGTTTTAATTACTGAACTGAGCGTTGCATTTTAGAGCATAACCACATTTTATAACATAATTACAGTCTCAGTAATAACATTTCAGCTGCTTCACAAATACTTTCACAGTAAGTTTTAAAAAAAGACCAGCGTACCTATGAAGAGATATGAATACACACAGAGAAAAATATTTTAAAATATTAAGCATACCTGTGTTCGCAGAATTTCACCTTTTGACAGTTGCATATCACCAGTCAACTCTTTCACAGTAATGCCTAGTGGTTCCAGACGCTTGCTGAAGTAATTTGTCATTTCAGCTGCCAAAGCCTTCATAGGAGCAACATACACAATCTGCACCAAAAGGACACTCGCTTGATAAATGAGCAAACCCCACAACGTCGTTTGTTTCATGGCAACCATTACAAATCACAATTTATTGTGAAATATGATGCCAGGCGCTTACAGTGAAAAAAATCTTAATAGTGATATATGAAAAGTAGTTATCTCTGTTGGATAAGTGTGCAGCTGTTTAAAGGACAATGGATTTTGTTTATACAGCCTCATCACTTTGAAAATTGGTTCTGCACCAAAGCTAAATGCGTTTGCATAGCTTTTTACTCACATAATAAGATTTTTAGAATACAAATAAGAATAGCTTTAACAATAATGAACTAAATCAAAACTAGCCTTATCTTTGACTTGGAAAAGTGTCATACCCTTGAAAACTTCCTGATTTAATTTTCCATATATAACGTATAATGGCTTTTACCGTACAAGTTAAAAAGCTGTTACCTGGTTCATTAAACTCCTACCTTAAACTCATCCTTTTTGATAACACCATGCTGGACATGCTGGCGAATTTCATGAAGGACTGTCAGCATGGCAATGTTAGTCTTCCCAGCTCCAGTGGGGGCACAGATTAGCATGTTCTCATTTGTGTTGTAGGCAGTCTCAAAAACTATAGATTGGATTCGGTTCAGTCTTTTCATGCCTTTAAAAGCAAGTTGTCCAATCTGTTAAAACAAACAACATGCATATTTTTGATTTTTCATATACATACACACACATATGTATGTGCATGTGTGTGTCTATACATATATTAATCATAAGACAAAGACAAAGAATACATGGTAACAGAACTTAGGATACCTGTTGAAATACATTTATTATTCCAAGGTTTTTATTTTCATGCTACCACTCCCACCCAACCCTCAAATATTGAATCCATAAGGGTAACAAAATATAGCAGAATAGCATCTGTTAAAATTAATCAAAATCTTTAGCCAAATGCTATTTCAGCATTTAATTTGTTTTTAATCAGGAGCGTGACCAAAACTAATATACGGTAAAATAACAACTTCTTAGTAATTAAACATTATTGGTCAGGGCAATCCCAAGCACAGCTACAGTCTGGGTGGAGAACAGATTGAAAGCAGAGCTGAGGAGAAGGACTTGGGGGTGTTGGTGGATGATGAGAAACTCATCATGACCCAGCAATGTGGGCTTTCAGCCCAGAAAGCCAACCGTGTTCTGGGCTGCATTAAAAGAAGTGTGACCAGCAGGTCGAGGGAGGACTCTCTCTCTCTCTTGCACTCTTGTGAGATCCAACCTGGAGTACTACATCCAGCTCTGAGGCCCCCCAGCATAAGAAGGACATGGAGCTGTTGGAGCGAGTCCAGAGGAGGGCCATGAAGATGATCAGAGGACTGGAGCACCTCTCCTATGAAGACAGGCTGACAGAGTTGGGATTGTTCAGCCTGGAGAAGAGAAGGCTCCAGGGAGACCTTAGAGCAGCCTTCAAGAACCTGAAGGAGGCCTACAGGAAAGCTGGAGAGGGTCTGGTTACAAAGGCATGTAGTGATAGGACAAGGGGTCATGGCCTTAAGCTGAAGGAGGGTAGATTTCAATTAGATATTAGGAAGAAATTCTTCACTATGAGGGTGGTGAGACACTGGCACAGGTTGCCCAGAGAAGCTGTGGAGGCCCCCTCCCTGGAAGTGTTCAAGGCCAGGTTGGATGTGGCTTTGGGCAACATGGTCTAGGGGAGGGTGTCTCTGTCCATGGCAGGGGGGTTGGAACTAGATGATCTTTAACATCCCTTCCACCTTAACCATTCTAGGATTCTATGATTATTCTGGGTGCTTTAGTTAATTTACAGACATTTGCTATAGTAACAGCCTTTCCAATTCTTTCCAATACTGAGCAAATTATTCAAGCTGGCTTCAATTTATTACTACCTCAAGTAGTAATTGCAAGTTTAGGAATGAGGGCTTCATCGACTGTTCAAATCAACTATTTTATTTAACTTTGGGACAAACAGCACTAGGTCTATTGTTTTGCTGCAGCTTCTTGCTAGTAGCCTCGTGTGAGAGGCTGAGATGCAAATTACAAATATAGGTTAACACATGATAACACTCTACTCATAAATGTAGAGGAATGATGTACTTAATGAATGGCCAATTGTAGTTTTATTCGAGAGGACTTTAAATATTAAAAAACCATCACTCAGACATAAAAGTGAATGAAAATGCTATGCAATCAACACACTATTTCTTTTTGAGACATCTGCTTTTCAATTTAGCAGTACCTTTGTCTTAGTTTTCAGGTTGAAATCTTATTGTGCAACCTTGAAAAAACAAGTTCCATTCAAATCATGGATTGCATTTGTATTTATAGGATTGACACATCTCAAATATATTAAAATATCTATTCAAAACTGTTAAGTGTCTTTGGTGAAGGGAAAAAAAAAGTACCTAATGCAAGTACTTCCAGCACTTTTCATCAAGTTTCTTCAATTTTTCAAGTGGCTGAATTTCAGGATTACAACAGTTTTCACTATTAATGTTCCTTCACAGTGTATTCTGCTTGCAAGATTGCAGGGGGAAAGCTTATTTGTTTTGCACCAAGTTTTGTATACATAACATTTACTTGGCATAACATCTTCAAAATTCATTTGATGTTCATGAATGAGACTATTATAGTGTTAATGGGTTTCCTGGAGACCTGCTGATTACATTAGTGCTATCAGGGTTCAATCAACTATTTTTATGGCCTCCTCAGTCATTTTAGGTTTCTAATTTGCCTGTTACTTCATTTTGTGATTTCTTGACAGGTATCTGAAAATGGTTATATTTTCCTTTTCCCTTTTCCCTCCCATTGCATCTAATTGGTTTTAGAAGCTATTATAAACACCATAAAGTTCACACTGAAGGATCTATGGAGAGAAACTCCCAAACACAACTGGTGATCACAGAATTGAACTAACAAAACACTGTATTGTACAATATGTATATTATTTAAAGAAGCAGTTTTTAAACAAAAGCAGAAACACAGTTGTCTAAATAAGGTCTGGTGTATCTTCAGAAAAGAATGACAGGAATTTTTCAGTCACATAGTTGAACACACGTGGACAGGTCTCCTTACAGTTGTATGATTGTTAATACCCTTAAATAAAGTACGCTTTTAAGTGTTTAACTACTGCCTCTAGGAATATATTGTCCCAGCTTCTCTTAATCTTTAAGTGGCCAGTTTAAGATATCTTTTTCCTCTACATTTCGAAGAAATTACATATACCATAGCCCCAGCACATGTAAAAATTGTTAGCAAAAATAAATAAATATGGAGATGAATAAAAATAATTTCCTATCTCTTTTCCTACTGGAAAGTAGTAACATCATGGATTAAGACTGACTTGGTAAGCAGCAGTAAACAAAGAGATGTTCCAGAAGCACCAGATGAAACTGTGTAACAAGTCAGAAAAACGAACCTCAGCTTGTTTGGGTTAAGAACCATAAGTATTTTTTTTAATAATAGCATGCTGACCAGAATCTAGACTTTCATTCAAACACACTAATTAATTTTCAAGCAATTAAAAAAAAAAAAAAAGCAAAAAAAAAAAGCAGGCACTGACAAATCTATCACAACAGTCACAATCACAATACAGACTCAATGCATAATATTCTTTGAAAGGTGACTCTGAAGGAACATATTAAGGATTAAAAAAACACAAGAGAAAGGAATTCCAGAGAAAAACAGTATCTTAAGACTTCTTCAACTCTCCATTTGGTTGAAAAAATATTACAGGTTACCCTTCTCCAAAACTTCATTTTATTCCAAACAGTAAGTACAAATGCATAATCCAAAACCAGTAGTTCTGCCCTAGAGAAACAGTAAGAAAAAAAAAATAGACAGGGGAGAGAAACACAACAGTATGCACAGAACTCCACAGTTTGACAAATGTACTAGAACATTTGCTTTTTTGTCATTTGCACAAACTAACCAGTTTGAAAGCTGAAAACAATTTTTTTCTCCCTGACATATTAACATCAGTCTACACTTCTACAGACCAATTCTTTTCCAGATAAACCAGTGAAATCCCTTCTTCTTTAAAGGACTGGTAGCCACTGGATAGCAGAATCTGTTTTTTAGTGAAAGTGAATGAGAGGTAACATTCTTCAGCTTTCTTTTCCCCAGCTGATTTAGCCCTAGAATTCTACACAAACCAAAGGAAGTTTAAGCAGAATACACTCTGAGAGCCATGCTCAACAATTTCATGCCTAAGATAGTGCCATTTTTACATAAGCATTTATCAATGTGAAAGACCACAGAGGAGCAAGTCCTTCCACAAACAAGATGGTACTCCAAGAAGCTCTGATACGAATAAACCCTTTATTTTTACTTTAGTAAGCTTTCCAATTCTTTCCCATGGAATTTACTATTACATCTAATGCATTTATGAGTAAATGAGACTCACTTAATGAAGATCTTCCAAATTAGTCATTTCATTAAAAAGATATTTGTGTGTTGGTGCTCTAACAGCAATTTAAATACAGGATAAAACTGTTAAAGTAATTAAACTAATATTCATGGATGAGTCCATATGATTCAGCCTGCAGGCAAGCTACAGCTCAGAAACACAACTGCTTTAACACCACGGTACTATCAGCATCTGTTCTAAATAGCACAGGCCATCAGTACTTTAGACAGAGTTTTAGTCATGCAATTCATTAGCCAGACCTCGTAGTTCTGCAGAGTTTAATAAATATGATGCAGAAGATACTCACTGTTTTCCCCAAAGCATCCCTGTGAAACCTGCTGTGGTCTATCTATGTATGGTCTACAGCACTCTCCCTCACCCAGAACAAAAGGCTGCTAACTAAAGTTCCGCTAAAAGCCGAGATCATTCACTCTCTGTAGCAGCTTCTAAATTCAGTATTAGCGTGCACAGACATAGCATAATATGTTTTATCTAATCTATCCAGAGCAATACTAGAAAAAAACCACCACAACCCCTACCATATTTAATTCTTAGCAATTTATCCAGAAAATACGTTTGGGTGTTATCTCCCTTAGAATTATCATATTTTATTGATTTATCTACAGGATATTCTCTTTATACTCCTCATTCTAAAAGAGATTTTGTCTTGTCCACATTCATTTTTCCAGTTTTCATGTAATACTAGGCAAATTTTCTCATGGTCTGAAATAAAGAAATGTTAGTCACCTGTACTAATTTCCATAACATAAACCCACCTAAAATAAATGCTCTATAACGATGATTTCTTCTGTTGTACTATAACAAAATAATAAGATTATTACCCATTTATCATAAAGATAATCCATTGCATTCATAAACCAAGTTTAAACTTTCAGCATCTTCCCTGCTCATTAGCTTAATTTTAATGTAGATATATTTTAATCAAAGTACCTTATATATTTCAGGTGCAACGAATTCCATTCTGCAGTCAGTTGTTCTATTGCACTTTCAGTTAAAAAGATAATTGATCTAACTGGTAATAGTATGACTAATCCATGCTGTTTTACAGAAAATCCATGAAATTCAGGAAATGAAGTTCAGATGTCCCTCATCCTGACATGTAAGTAATCTCTAGGTCATGTTTTCCCTTTGCTGTACTTTGAAATGTTGGTTAAAACATATCTATGCATACACATACATATTTGTATACAGATGTATATACACATACACATTTTAATAAATACATTCCCACTATCC